CCGAGGTTTTGTCCGTAAAGCGACACACCATCCTGGTTTTTGTGAGTCTTCAACATAGAATATAGGCTCAACCTGAGATGCAAAAACAAAAGGCTTATCTGCCACATGAGATCCTGTGTGAACCAACTTTGAAAAGTTCACTAATGTGTATCCGAACCGATCTTTCATAATGCCTTTTCCCTTTTCAACATCGGCCCATTCACACTTGAATAAAACTACTTTGAACCTTTCATAATAGTTTAACTCAATCATATCAACCACCCGACCATAATAAATTGTATCACCATCTAACTGTGACGTCTGTGATGCCACGAAAACACCACTGTTCTGTGTTTTCTTCTTTTTTTCACGCGCTTTTGTACGAAATCTAAATCCTTTAGTGATATAGCTATGGAATTGTCTTGCCACTCTATACGGGCCCCGAGCTAGCCATCTTACATGATCAGTAGCTAGAGGATCATGATTTGCTTCTAATTCAGATACCTGAAAGAAATTGTGGTTAGGTCAATTTCATATTAAACATTCATTTCACATACATAAATACTTTATCTATGCACAAAATCAATGTTAAAGAAAAGTGGGCCTCACTTTATTTTTGAACCAGTCTACAAACTTTGAGTGATGTGTTTGTTCAATTTCATGGGCAGAACGATCTCTCTTGCGACCTTTCCCTATATGTCCTCCTTTAATTATGTCTCGATGCTCTCTATCAATCAAATAAGTTTTAGATTAGCAGAAACATAAGACAACCTCATATGAAAAGGACAGATGCTAGAGAAAAAGGCTACTTACTTGATGAATTTGTGAACCTCTTTTGTTGAATTGTACAACACATACCTATGTGCTTGCATCCATGTTTTAGGATCAAGTTCGACATCATTCACTTTGCCAATGGAACGACCGGGTATTGTCATTACTGGACTATCTTCTATTTGCACATGATCCTCTCCATCATAATTTCTAGGCACTCTATTAAATCTTGTGTTGACACCAGTGAAATATCTAGAACAGTATTCGATAGATTCGTTTGCAATATACCATTCAGCAATCGAAGCTTCAGGATAGTTTCTATTTCTAACATGAGCTTTCAGTGTCATCAAGTACCTGTGTTGAGAATATTCAAATCACATTACAGACCATAAAAACAGTACAATGGTACAATAAGAATTTAACATTAACCACGTAAAACCTCCATAATTTAAAGGAGTTAATGGATATCATCTTAGCAAAGTTGAATAACAGTATCATGAAGCAAATTCAGTTTTAGGAATCCGTTACTTATTTGGTAAGTATGTAGAGCTCATGTCATATCCATTCATGCACTTAGTGAGATTGGACTAATATTCTATTGTAATTTATCCAGAGGAAAAAAAGTTGGATCTTCAGTTTAGTGGAAACTTTGATGGTTTTTTAAATGAATGATGTTGATTGAAATAACGATAAAAATATTAATAAGTTCACTCAACTAGTAAAGAGCGCGGAACAACAGTGAAAAAGCATACAATATCAATAGATTAGAAACGGTAAAGGCACATCCAAAAAGGTAATAGTTTTCTTTTTTATATAATCAATTTTCTTTTCCTTAAGTCTCTTTTATAATGTAAAATGATAGACATAACTCAAGTTATAACATGATTCACCCATAACATGATCAAAAGAAACGCATACCTCTCAATAGGGTACATCCATCGATAATGAATCGGCCCTGCCAGTTTTACCTCCTCAGCTAAATGACAGACCAAATGTACCATGATAGTGAAAAATGATGGTGGAAATATTATCTCCATTCGTGCCAGTATTTCTCCGATTTCTGCTTCTAGCACATCCAACCGACTTACTTCAAGAACTTTTGAGCATATCTCTCGTAAGTAAGTGCTCAAATCGATCATAACCCTACTCACTTTGTCAGGCAAGCAGCCCCTCACTGCTACAGGAAGTAGATCTTGTAGTAAGATGTGGCAATCATGACTTTTGAGACCCATTATCTTTTTAGCACCCATCTTTACACAACTAGATATGTTCGACGAATAACTATCAGGTACTTTCACTGTTTTCAAAGTAGCAAGCATTTGCTCTTTCTTTGTTTTGCACAACACATAGTAAGCCGGGGGCATCTTTTCTTTTCCATTATCTTGCTTAATAAGATGAAGACCACTTCTTAAACCCATCAATTCCAAATCTTTACGAGCTTTCAAATTGTCTTTCGTTTTCCCTTTGACATTCATTATCGTGTTCAAAATGTTATCGCAAACATTCTTCTCTATGTGCATCAAATCAAGATTATGCCTCACCAAATTGTACTCCCAATACGGCAGACGAAAGAATATGCTCTTCTTCTTACAAGCTTTCTCAATCATCTCGTCCTCCATGTGTAAACCATTTGCTTGTACGGTTGAAGAATGAGAATTAAGCAATTCCAGAACATGAGTACCAGTCATTCGAACTGGAGCTGTTCTATACTCCTCCGTTCCATCAAACCTATCCTTATCTCGTCTGAATGGGTGATCAGAAGCCAAACATCGACGGTGCCCCATAAAGCAAAATTTTTGACCTTTCTCCAACCGTTTACACCAAGTATCTACACCACAACAAGGGCAACCAAATCTACTTTTTGTATTCCAACTTGACAACATGCCATAACCTGGAAAATCACTTATTGTCCACAACAATGATGCATGCAACTTGAACCTGGTTTTAGTGTGGGCATCATATGTGTCAATCCCTTTTATCCATAAATCATTTAGTTCATCAACCAGTGGTTCTAGGAGCACATCAATCTTATCCCCGGGAGATTTAGGTCCAGGTATAAGCAGGGACATAATAAATGAAGATTGCTTCATGCATAGCCAAGGCGGCCAGTTGTAGATAGTTAGGACGACAGGCCATGTGCTGTGAGTGCTAGAAAGACTCCTGAAAGGGTTGAATCCATCACTAGCTAAACCCAACCGAAGATTGCGGGGTTCCTTTGCAAAATCATCGTATCTAGCATCAAAATCTTTCCAAGCACGACCATCGGCAGGATGTCTTATGTACCCGTCATCTTTACGTTCATCAAAGTGCCATCTCATATAAGAAGCTGTTTTCGGACACATAAATAGCCTTTGCAACCTTGGAATCAAAGGAAACCAACGCAATACGTTCTTTCCTAATTGATTCTTCTTCTTAGTAGAACTACATGAACCTCTTATTTCATCGTCCTCGTATCTGTAAGCATCACATCTTGTACATTTTTGCGTATCTATGTTTGTCTTCCAAAACAACATACAATTGTTTGGACAGACATCAATCATCTTGTATCCAAGGCCTAATGAATTGATAAGTTTTTTAACTTCATAAGTTGACCCCGGCAATTTATCTCCTTCTGGCAATGTTTCCCTTAATAAGCTCAAAAGTTCTTTGAAAGACTGATTACTCCATCCATGTAAATTCTTTATATGGAATAACTCAAGAATAAAAGAGAGCTTACTATGTTTTCGACATCCGCTGAAAAGGTCCTCATCGGTCTGCTCTAGTAAATCAGAGAACTTTGATGCTTCTTCATTCAAAGTTTCTGTAGGTGGCTGCATGTCATGATCACTAGCAAACGAGTCATTGCCATTACTCTGCACATTAAATTCTGATTCTCCCATTTGACCATACCCAGTTGCCATATCTTCGAAAAACTGTCGCACATTATTTCGTTGCCCTTCTGCATTAGCCTGTCTTTGATCACTTGTAACATGATAAGAACGATCTGAATCCTGAATCGATTCTCCATGGAAAGACCAATGTATATATCCCGGAGAAAATCCATTCTCTAAGATATGTGCGACCACTGTGTTTTGTGCATATCGATGGCTATTTACACATCTTCGACAAGGGCAAGATAATGTCCCAGATAATTTTGATCTTTTTGCGAACTCGATAAAACTAGCTAGTCCATCCAAAAACTTCTGACTCATTCTATCGGACTCATGTATCCAACTTTTATCCATTCTCTTGGACCAAATCTACAAGCCAGAAAGAATAGTATATAACATTATCAATAGCTATTCAACAAATATTACACGAGAGGACTAGGAAGAGATAGTTGATGTACAAAATTGGAATGTTCCCTTGTAGCCGGTTCTCATGCATATACATGAAAAAACAAAACAAAAAAGAGTAGGAAGAGATAGTTGTACCTGGAGACTCACGAGTTGGTTGTGTGAAAGATTGAGATGGAATAGTGTCGTATATTGATTGCCAGCGTAGGAAATTTGCTCAAAATGCTCGATGTAGGTCAAATACTTTGAATGTAAAAGCCCCAACAGAAAAACTGAAACAGCAGCAGCACAATTGTTCAGAGAGAAGGTAAAGAAACAGTAAGATCCATGGAAATGAAACTATATACTCTCATGAGTCATGACCACCAAAAGAAACCGCAGCAGCATATATGTAGTAGACTAACTAGACTATGCATCTTGCTTTGTAGCTGCAATTTGGAGTAAAGAACATAAATGGTAAGCCTAACTAGGATCCCACAATCCCTAGATACCATCAATTACAGTTTGAGAGGCGAAACAAGCAAAATTCAACAGCAAGATGCCCATACAATGGCTGCTCCATATTTTCAGATTGCAAATTCAAGTGATAGTTTAGTTTCTTCTACCAGCTTGCATGAGTAGTTAAAAACCATTTAATTAACATAAAGCCCATCAAATGATCATAATATGGTGAGTAGTCAAAGCAAGCTCATATCCCAACAACAAACAATCTTTCGGATTGTGTACTAAGTTTCAATCGTTCAACTAAAAATCATATTATGACCATCGAACTTAAAGTCTCGCTTGCCTCTAAGTTCAGGATCAATGCAAAGAAATGATATGGTACTTCTTCCATAACTAAACTCTTTGCATTGTTCAGACTAAGTATTAAGCAAGTGTCCTTACCACCTAAACACACACAACAACAACCCTCAATTATTCATCAAAAAAAAAAAAACAACAACAACCCTCAATATGCAGACTTTGACAAGCATTTTTCTAAATAGACAGCTTAGCAGAAACAATACAGGATTCCTAGCAAGTTCAAGTTGGCGGGAGGGTGGAATTAGTAATCTAACTTGGGCAGAGTTTGATTACGATTACGAAAATGCAGACCTGTAAGTGACGATTTCTTTTCTCACCTTAGGAACTAGTTGCCCTTGTTCTCATGATAATTCAGCTGGAAGTTTTTACAGATCCAGTTGCAAGGAGGAGGACTTGTTTTGTGAAGGCGGTGTAAGACAGCAAGAAACCGAGTGACAATGGCTGGACCTCGATACGGCCTTGGAGCATTCTGGTGGAGAGACTGTTCTAAACGAGCTCCAGAACTCTCTTCAATTTGTCGCTTCCCCTTAAAACTTGACCATTGCCCAAATTAAGAGCCACTTCCTCCAAAACTGATTAGCTGCGCTGCTGCATTTTCATTAATCAATCTCACAAAGGATTTCACCACTACTCAACAACTCTTGAAGCTAACTAATTCCAGAAACAAGCATCCTCCACCCAACAATTTGTTTTTTTTTTTTGGGCGTTAATGAAGGGCGCACAGGCGCAGCAGAGATTTTAAGTTCAGACGAACAGATATCACGATGCGAGTTGTCTAACGCTGCGAATCTGCAGATCTTGGAATCTGATCTCGTGGCTGTGCTAGCTGGTTGCTCTAACCAAGAAGGAAGAAAAACTTTAATGGACAGAAAGAAAACCTCTCTGAGTTGCAATTGGAAGGGGATTAGCAGCTTGTGGCGTACTCCCCAACTGAAAGGATCCAAGTTGAAGGCCGGCTGGACTTCAACTAGCTTCAATCCAACAGAGCGATTCTCCTCTTCACAGTTTACTGCATGCGGCAGCAAGAGAGCCAGATTGCAGTGTTTTATTTAGGTCGAAACTTGGTTCGGGCGGTGTGAATGAAGAGGTGAAAGAGATAGAATGTTTGGTTTGATCGATTGGTTTTCGGTTGATAGCCTTCGATGTCACCGACGAGAAGAGGAACCGACAAGAAAAGCAGGAAGCAAAACTCTCTGTGTCCGCGGCAGCGCGAAGATGATGAAGTTTCCGCGCGCTCGGTGGGAAATTTTCCCGCTTCGCATAGGGAATAACGCTAAAAGAAAATAAATTAAATTAAATGCTGATGGAATTCATTATATTAGGGGTTAATTTGGAGATTGAAACGTACAGAAGAGTGTCATATAGACATTGGGAAGTTTTCTAATGTACTCGATCACTACTGTTTTTTTTTTTTTCTTTTTTCCTAATGATCACTACTGTTTTTAATTGATGTATGTATGTATATATGGACGCGGATATTGGAATTAGAATTTAGAAGTACGAATAATATATGTTTGTATAAATGTTTGTTATATTTTGTAAATGATTGCATGCTTTTTCAATATTTGGATTTAAGCTACCTTAGCAAAAGTGGTTGTAATATATATCGTTATAAAGTGTCAATACTCGGATATGTTTTAAAGTATTGAAATAGTTACGGCCACGACTACAAGTGTCGATAATATATGTCGCTAAAATAAATATTATTATCCAACTTTCAAATTTAAACGACATTTGCAAAAGTAGTCATAATATATGTCATATAAAATATAAATAATCCGACATTTATAAAACAAATGTCGGATAACACCAATCCAACTTGTTTATTCCGATATTTTTTTTTAAATGACGCTACACACTCTTCTAGTTTGCAAATTAACCAACATTTTTCAAAATTATCGTAACTTATGTCGCGAAAAAATATATTTACTCTGACGTTTTTTTATGAATGACGCCATACATTCATCCAATTTGATGATTAACCGACATTTTGAAAAACTATCGTTACATATGTCGCTATATTTTTTTTTTGACATTTTGTATAAATGACAACATAATTATTTAGTCTCCACATTAGATGGACATTTTTCAAAATTGTCGTGATAAAAATGTCATTACTAGGGTTTTATTTACTAGTTGTTTCAATATTTTTTGCATATGACGTTGTATCATCATATGGTTTATTGATTAACCAACGTTCTCTATAATTGTCGTTACTTATGTCGCTACAAAATATAGGTAATATGACATTTTTTGTAAATGACGCCATACGCTCATCTTGTTCCGGCATTTACAAAAAATATCGCAACATACATCGCTTTAAAATATGTTTTATCGACATTTCAAATAAGTGACGGCACAACTTTTTGTCTCTCACGTTCAAACGACATTTTTCAAAATTGCCGTGATAAAAATGTCGCTACAAGGGTTTTTTATGTAGTGGGTTCACGACCATTTATAAGGAACAAAATGTGATTATCCAAGAACAGGCAAGGTTAGTAGTAGATATGAATAGTGGTGGTAATGGGAGGGGCGGGGCGGAAGAGACAAGTATCTTTATACAATATTTAAGAATGGATCTGGTTGGGTAATATCTGCGAAAGTAATAATGTAACCATATTTTTATTAAGGTAGGTCCAACGTTAAAATAAATATAATGTTTACTCATGTTTTGCAATAAACCACAATGTATTTCCTCAATTCTAAAAATATCTAAAATAAAGTATTTACCATATAAAAAACTCTAAATTATACTAGAGAGGTCCCACAGCTCACAATTCCAACAAACCATAAGCGATATATATTTTTGTCGTGTGTGTTTCAGTTTTAAGGTGGTGCATGAAACCTCCCTCATGTTCAAGTGACTTAGCCACTAGGTGCGAGTAAGAGTTGGGTCAGGTTAACACATTTTTATTTGTTATTTGAAGAAAACGTTTATTATTAACAACAAACAAAGAAAAATAGGTCATAAATAAAAATAGAGATAATTGATAGATTAATTGAGTCCAATTAGTTGAAAGATGAAGTGTTACATTTATCTAAAGTATTATTGGATGAAAATATTATTTAAAAAATTCTAAATATGATAAATACAAATAGATAATGAGACAAGTCGAGATTAAACATGTTTATAAAAGGATGGGACAGACCGAGAGAAACCGAAAGTCAGGATCAATAATCCACAAAGAAGCGGGATCAAATTGTCATGCTAGATGAATGCAGCATATGGTTTAATTTCTCCTCTTGAGGCTCAATTAGTAGGTCTTTTGCTTCGTGAATTAGAAAAGATGAAGATTTTCTTAAATATTGGATTTTGAAAATTATATATATATATATGGTGGCTTCTATCGTACCTTGGGTAAAATCTAGGGTACGACATACCATGAGTAAAAATATGCTATCTAGACCTCGAATTAACCGAATTTTTGGACATGATACTATACTCTAACCCTTGATGATTGAAACCTAGGTCTTAGATTTCTAAATCAAAGAGCCTAATCCCTAAGATTGTGCCTGTAATTTGTTGCATATATTTCGACAAATCATAGCCGTTGATTTTTGTTTCTAATTAAATTGATCTTAGTGTATGAGATTTATAAAACTAAGACCTAGATTTTAATCCTTAAGGGTTTGGGAATAATATCAGACGCCAAACTATGCTCAATTCGAGGTCTAGATATCATTTTTTTACTCAAGCTATGTTGTACCCTTGATTTTACCCAAGGTACGATAGAATCACCCATATATATATATATATATATATATGGCTTTTTAATAATTGCAAATAGACTACTAACATTAACCCTCTTCTTCCCCGTTTATTTTCCCCTCTTCTGCTAACCCCTCTTCTTCCTCTCACCAACAGAGACATCTTCATTTCTCCCTCACAAGGAAAGAGACAATCAGATAATTCTTCTTTTACCCAAGCTCCGTCAAGCTTCCCAATTAAACATTGATTCCTCCGGGAAATTAGAAAAACAATCGGAGCTTACTATTTTTCAATTCCTCAATTCTAAGTTTCCTTCCCATCTGAAGAATTGTGCGGCCGCTGACTGTGATGCGCCGCCGTCGCCGACTCCATGATGGAAAACCTTCATCTCGATGTCTCCGATGCATCCAAACAAGAGATAGGGAAGTCGTTGGAACGCTCTGCTGCTGATAGAAGGAGGTTGAAGAAAGGGGAATCTGTTTTTGATCGAGAAAGTCTCTTCTTCTTCCTGCAATTATGTTTATGGTTATGGACTTAATAATCTTGCTTGACAAATGGACTCTCTATTTCTTATTTAAGCCTCAGTTCTTGAGGCCTAGCGAAGCTCTTAATAGCATCTAATTTTAGTCCATTTCCTAAATATATGAAACCCAAACAAGAGACGTCGTGTGGCTAGAAGGTGGAGGCGAACTGGGCAAAAGCTTCGACGAAGGTGGAGCTGGTTCCCTTGTCGCAGCCTCACCGGAAACAGGGCAGCATCCTGTGGTCGTTTTATGGTGTGAAAAGAAGGTTTGAACGCATCTTGTTAGGTGTAAATCATCAAAAGTGAACTTAATCAAAACCAATTGGTACTTTGCTTTTGTTTCCCTATCAGATTTCGAGCGGAATTAGGCTTCTTCAATGCTTCACCATCTATTCCTTTGCGGCAAAAGAAAACCCAGCAGTTAACCACTCTAATTAAATTAAATTAAACTATCTCCTTCCGTTAAATTAAAGTTTGGTACGCTTTTCCTCTGTTCGCAGTCTATCATGGATTTCGGAATCACTCTAACCTTGAAATCGTTCATCTGATTCAAGTCAGAAACGATTAGTACCTTGCTTCCGAATTCTGATATTGATATTTCGGCACTCGGCAGAATTGGGACGGAGGACGACGGTGCCAGGCCATCGGAATAAATTGACGGTGGAAAAGGGGAAAAGAATCGGGGAAGGAGAGGATTTGGGGTCTAAATGCAATTATTAATAAGTTAAACTTCTTTTACTAAATATAATATAGTTAATAATTAATTATAAATTCATTAAATTATTGTAACCGTTAGATGTAATCAATGAATAAGATTAAATAGAAAAGTGAGTGTATTCAGTGCACCCAAAAAAGTGGGTGCACCAAAAATGCCGTCATATATATATATATATGGAGATTTCGAATTAGCAGAATTTTTGGGCTTGATACTATACCCTAACCCTTAATGAGTGAACCCTAGGTCCTAATTATCTAAATCATAAACTATAAACCCTAAGATGGAGCATTCATCTTTTTGACTATATTTGGACGAATCATATCCGTCGATTCTTGTTTCTAATTAAATTGATCTTGGGGTATAAGATTTAGAGAACTAAGACCTAGATTTTGATCTTTAAGGGTTAGAATATAGCATCATGTCCAAAAGGTTAATTAATTCAAGGACTAGATAGTGTTTTCATACTCAAGGTATGCGGTACCCCGGATTTCACCCTGGGTACCGTAGAACTCGCCATATATATATATGGTTCAGGCTAGCGT